ATCATATGTAGGTTTGGCAGAACTCCATTTTTAAAAATTAGTATTTTTGAACATTTTTTTTCTATTTTTAGCCATTTAAATTTTCATAGTTGCACAACATTTTGGTTTTTAAACTTTTTTTTTTCATTTTTATCTATTTAGATGTTCATAGATTTGGGAAATAATGGGAAAGGGGACAGACAATAATTATATAATGACAGATCATATGTAGGTTTGGCAGAACTCCATTTTTAAAAATTAGTATTTTTGAACATTTTTTTTCTATTTTTAGCCATTTAAATTTTCATAGTTGCACAACATTTTGGTTTTTAAACTTTTTTTTTTCATTTTTATCTATTTAGATGTTCATAGATTTGGGAAATAATGGGAAAGGGGACAGACAATAATTATATAATGACAGTAATAGACATTAGACTTCAAAAAGTGAAAGCTTGAGAATGATTATAACGCAAATTGTGAACATCGCATGTCAAAATGTACAAAGTAAATATTCCTAAATCAAACTGCAGCAAGTTCTCAGGAAGCATATTTCTTACTTCACTAATATGTACGTGTCATTGTTATCTATGAAAATAATTTTTCTTTGGTTAGTGCATGAAATTGATGTTTACCAACCTTTTGTAATAAAAATCAATTTCTTCCAAGTATAACCATAAGTAGTCGTCATCAAGGTTCTGCTATTGAAAGTTGTTAACAATCTATTCTCTGTTCCTCTCACCTGTCTCTAATAGCTTGATGCCCTAGATGTGAAATAGGAAACATAAAGTGTGTCACTGAAGCTATGTCTACACAATGAGTTTTGCTGGAAGAGGCAATGCAAATGAAGCGCAGATTAACATTTTCTCACACTTCATTTGCATACTCTCTTCTAATCCATTTTTGCAGTAGGGGTTTTTGTGAAAAAACAGGCAGTGTGGACGTTTCCTTTTTGCGCAAAAAAACCCTTTTCCCACAAGATCGGTATACCTCTTTTTTTGAGGCATAAGGAAAAAGGGGTTTTTACGCATAAAGGAAATGTCCACACTGCTCGTTTTTGTGCAAAAACCTCTTCCTCAAAAACAGATCAAAAGAGATTATACAAATGAAGCATGAAGAAAACCACAAAATTCGTAGTGTAGACGTAGACTAAGGGACCAGAGTTCAGCATATGTCAATGACTGACAACCCGTATAACAATCCATTTCTCTTTCATGTAGCTTTATTGGCTCTGTTCTGCCAACAAACATAAAAGTAGTAAAAACTAACTTCTTCTGTCAGGCACATAACCAGCTCTGAATACACACGTTGGCTATTTTGATGGTTTGAATAGAACATAAGTCAAACACAGACCTAGTGCTGACCCTCTTCAAAGGGGTGAATTTAACTGAGAGAGGGCAGATCTGTTGAGTAAAGAGGAAGCATTTTTAAATAGTTATTTAAAGCATTTAAATCATAGCTACACTTAAACTAAAAAGTTTCTCTAGGAAATGTAAGTTCCAAACATTTAAAAATCAGTGCCACTTGGTCAGATTTTTTTGCAGCAAGGATCATCTATTTCTGTCTAATTTTTGTGCTAGGTGTATTGGTTTACAGTGGAATTTGGACTCTGTAAAGAAGGGGATTCAATAAAGGCCTATGGTGCTGGGCTGCTGTCTTCATTTGGAGAGTTGCAGGTTTGTTCTCAACATCATGTCATTACTAGCTACATGATTCATGTTCTTTTTTTTTTAATTATGTTTCTTGTGTAAATGTCACTGTATGTTCACCTACTACTGTACGTCCAGAGTTTTTTAAAGCACTGTAATTAATTACAGCCATATGTAAGGACATATATCTAGAAAGAAGGAATGCAGGTTATTCTTACCAGGTTCAGAGAAAAGTCATGAGAATGATGAAAGGACCGGAAAACATGTTTTAGAGCAGAGATGCCCAAAGTGGAGGTGCAGCCCCAGGAAGGCACAGGCAGCCCCCATAGGGATGGGGAAGGAGAACCATCCAGTTCCTCCCTGCCCCCCAGTTCTGCTCTGAGCCCAACCCCATCTGCCTCCATGGCTCCCATTCTCCACCTTGGTGAAGTTCTGCTTTTGGCCCCACGCCAGCTTCCAGCCTGGGGCCAAGATGGAGGGCAAGGTCAGGAGCAGAACCACACCTGGTCATGGGTCTGGCTGCCAGCCCCAACCGCAGCTCATCTACAGCTCCATTCCTACCCCGACCACTGCTCCTGGCTAGGCCCTGCTCTCAGCCCCAGCCCGATCTGCAGTCCCAGCCTCAGCCCCCAGACACCATCTATGTCCTCCCCTCCTGGAGCAATATCCCAACTCCTTGCAGAGGGCACAGACAAGTGGAAGGGGTGATGTGACCCTCGAAAGTTTGGGACCTGGTGCTTTATAGGTTGGGTTTCTTGAGTCTGTTTAAAGTATCAAAAAGAACTGGTGAGTTGACAGTCTTTTAAGTATCTACAGGGAGAACAAATATTTGGTAATGGTTCATTCAGTCTAGCAGAAACAGGTATAACAGGATCCAATGCCTAGAAATTGAAGTTAGAGAAATTCAGACTGGAAATAAGGTACAGAATCTAACAGTGATGGTAGTTAATCATTGGAACAACTTACCAGGGACTGTTCCAATGACCATCATTAGCCATTAATATATCAAGATTGGATTTTTTTTTTCACTAAAACAATCTGCTCAAATTCAATGGCTTGTGTTAAATGGAAGGGCTGGCTTAGAATCTGTGAATCTTTGTTGTGAACAGAAGTCATTTCATAAATGTGACATTATATTCTTTTGGGGCCTGCTCCTCCTCCTTTGAACTCTATGGTCCAATTCCTTCGGACATCAGTGGGAGGGTGAGCAGGTCCCGAATAACTGAAGGTGTGTGTGTCTGTAACATTATTTTCCTCTGTTATACCAACATAGCTGCTTTTTCCAGGAAAGCAATCTCTCACTCAAGCCTGAAATTGTCCCCCTTAACCTGGAGAAGACTGCAGTGCAGAAATACTCTGTCACGGAGTTCCAGCCTGTTTACTATGTTGCTGAAAGTTTTAAAAATGCAAAGGAAAAAGTAAGGTAAAATAATCATTTCTATTATAGGCAGTGTCTTACACACACCTCCCAGAGGCCTTTGTGGACCTCTGCCATGTTCTTCAAAGTCTTGATAGTTAAGACATCTGGTTTGGCTTTTCAAAGCTTCTTTGAGCTTTTGCTCTGCATAAGGAGACTGTTGGAATGTGTTCTGTTGTCAGCTTGATAAGAACTATCAAGAAGTCTTCAGTTTGTCTCAGAAAAGTTCTGACAAAGGCAGTGATGCTACTCTGCCAATCACATCCTGGGAAAATCCTTTCTAGGGATGAGAAAGGAGTGCAGTCTGTGTGCCCAGGCAAGCCTGGACTTCTTGTAGTTGAGGTTAAGAACAAACAACTCTCTGGGCCATGTTCTCCTTTCAGAACAACTATTATTTTCTGGTTCTGCTCAGTAGCTTTATCAGTTGCCCAAATCTTTGCCCCTTTTATTCCAGAATGAAAACCCTGAACACTAAAAATAACAATTATTTGTATTATTTATCTTACACCTCATGTATGTATGACCAGTTGGGGCTTTACACAGATATAAAATAATTGCCTGTTTCTCTCATGGGGCTATCACATTCTGGGGTGCAATCTAGACCAAAGAGAGGTTGTGTCATTACCTGCCCTGTAACTATGGATAGCTCACAATGCTTTGCTCTTGTAGCTCCCAATCCAGGCCACTCACAGACAATCAGGACTGCATTAAGACATGCTGAGGCCCTAAAGTATGGCAAGTTTGAGAGCCCCCATTGCATTACTAAAAATGTGTATCATTCTAACAGAAAGGACAATGAAAATACAAATAATAAAGTTTTATATTTGCATATATACTAGTACATGGGGGGGATGCAACTAAAAACTAGTAATTGTGTTAGTATTTAGAGGCCCCTCATAATGTGAGACTCTAAAATGTACCTTACTTAGCTTATGCATAAATCCAGCACTGCAAACAGCCTACCACCATGAAGCTTACACCCTAAGCTTGCGTCTGACAAAATGATATTTGCCAACAAAAGCTTATGCCCAGATAAATCTTGTTAGTCTTGAAGATGCCACAGGACTCCTCATTGTTTTTGCAGACAGACTAAGACAGCTACCCCTCTGAGACGTGACACCCTGAGCTCGTGTGTGTACAGCTACAGCTTTGATCCTGTCAGTAATACTCCAGTCACACTCTGGCTTCAATCAGCTCTGGTTGCTAATTTCAGGGTGACTCCAAGACCCTCCCAGTTCCAAATTTTTTCCAAAAATGTATATTCTGGACTGTCCAGCCCTCTCCTGGACAGTATGGATGTTAAAGGTCTGTTGTCCTGGTAAAGTCAGCTATTTTAACTGGAGTTACCAAACAGATCAGTTGTAGAGTTGCCAGATGGTTTCACAAAAAATACTGCCCCCCGCCAAAAACAAAAACAAAAACAAAAACAAAAAATACCAGGAAAAAATTCTGTTGAGCAAAAAAAAAAGGACCTAAGCCAAAATGTAGTTGTGGCCCCTTTAATTTCTGGGCCACTTCCCCCTCTCCCTCCGCCCCCAGCAGCCTGAGCTGGGAAAAACAGAAAATACCGGACATTTTAGATGTCCAGTATTTTCTGAATTTTTTTACTGGATGGAAGGTGCAAATACCAGGCTGTGTGGTTCAATACCAGACACCTGGCAACCCTAATCAGTTTAAACACAGCACTGGGTTGTTCAGATTAAAAATAAAACAAGTTTATTAACAAAAAAAGTGACTTAAAGTATTGGGTACTATGGTTACAAGAGAAATAAAGGTAGAGCTTCCCTCCCTTCCCCAGCCCCAACCTGCCTGCTCTGGGGAAAGTCACAGCAGCCTCTCTGGTTTCAAAGACACTTTTGATATGCCCCATGCAGGTTCCGGGGCCCAGTAATCCAGCCCTGGAACCTGCATGGGGCATATCAAAAGCATCTTTGAATCAAGAGACACATTTTGGCAGCAGCTGCAGCCCCAGGCCCTTTTAAATTGCCAGGCTTCTGGGCAATGGCCCCTTTCCCCCCTCACTGGCAGCAGGGCTGGGCCAGAATGAAAGTATATTCTAGTGATCCCTGACTGGCTTTACAGAATCTTGGAGACAGCTGTCAGAAGTTAGACCAGCCCTTAGGTTGCTCTGATGCATGTCAAGTTCTACAACTCCAGGAACAGTAGAGGTGGATCAGGGGATCATGTTCTGCATTGGGAATAGGAAAATGGGGGTTTAAAGTCTAGGAAATGCTGACACATGCTCACTGGCCTGATCACAGAGCAGGTCTTCAGTTAGTTTACCCCTTTGGCTTCCCTATCTTTCACATCAATAAAAGCTCCACCAGACGTAAAGGAGTAGGTTATTTAAAAAGTTGTTTTCATAAAAATATTTGTCTTTCTTCTTCAGGAAATTTGCTGCAACAATCCCTCGACCTTTCTCTGTTCACTACAATCCATACACCCAGAGAATTGAGGTCTTGGACAATGCAAAGCAGTTGAAGAACTTAGCTGAATCCATCAGCAGTAAGCAATTGCAGTTTTGTTACCTTAGATTCCTCAAAAGCTCAGACTCAAATGGGGAGAAGTGTTTTTCTCTTGCCTCCTTTGAAGATCTGATCCTCTTTCAAATGGGAATTTGATCAGATCCCATATATTTCCTTGATGGTGTATAAAAACGGCTTCCTAATTTCACCCATACCCTAAAATGGGGCTCACTTTATTGTTTGCTTTTTACATTGGAAATATCACATCCTGATGTTCTTCATTTAGCTGGAGGACTTTGGCAAAGTTTGGAGGCCTGGTTATCACAGGAGGATGGAATTGGAGTTGTGGCCCTGTCTGCCCCAGTAAGGAAATGGGAATATTCACAGCCTTAGTTTGGATTTTCTTTCTTCATTCCAGGCTGAGCAGTTCTTTCTAATTAACTGGCTGGCCTGCTCAGAGCCAGCATCTCTGACCTTACACAACTTCGATAACTGTTACAGCTGCAGGTATAAGGGTTAATTCTGTTTGTGCTCAGGCAAAACTTCCCATTGAAGTTATTGTGCAGACACCTGTATCTTTGGCCTCATTCTGTCAGGGCATGAAAATATGTCTGGGCTGTAGTTGCACTGAAATGTGTTAAACAAGTTGTAAGACTAACAGGACAAACCCTGACTGTTGCTCTTTCCTATGCAGGTGAGATGGGAACTCTTTGTAGTGCCCTCAAGAAGATCAAGTGAAGGTTTTCTCAGAATCCTCTCTTCCAAGAGTGACTTACTGAAGTGACTCTGTGCAAAAGCCAAATATGTTCTAGCTATTTTACATGATCACTTTGTTGCATGTTTATGATACACACGCATGTGCACACACATATATTACTTAATTACTGTAACTTAGCAACAAAGGAGGCTGCTGTGGGTGTCCCTGTGTTCCCTCTGGTTACAGATCATTAGTCTGTTTAAAATTCATCCCAGCCCTGGGTAAGACTATCCATGGCACATCTTTTTTGCCTGAATCCTGGAGACTAGCAGAGGGAGAAATCCTTCTCCACTCACCAAAGTGTGGAGTTTCTGCTCTCCTGGAACCTGGCCCACCAACAGGGGAAGGGAGGGAAGGAGACAATTGCCCCAGGACGTGCAATTCAAAGGGCCCCAAGGCTCCTGGCCACCACTGCTGCTTTTGTCACAGCAATGGCAGCTGGAGCCCCAGGGCCTTGAAATTGCCTCTGGAGCACCGCTCCACATGCCCCTTGAGGTTCTGAGAGCTGGACGGGGGAGGCCCAGCACTGCTGAAGACTGGATGCCCCTCCTCCACCCCTTCCGCCTGAGGCCCCACCCTTTCTGGGAGCATGGAGCTGCCTCCCCCCACACCTTGCCCAGGGGCCCACAGAGGCTGTTGGCTCCCCTGCCTGGGACTGCATTGCTCTCATGTCCCAGTGATGAGGTGGCAATGGCTAGCAGCAGATTCATTTGCCCTGCCCCATCCCTCCTACGTTCCCATCCTCCACAGCCTGCAGCCAGGCAGGGCTCCCCTGGAGAGCTAAGCTCTGCATCTCTAGCTAGTACACAGGCTGTGCATGTCCTCCTAAACCTTGTCCCCTACATTGCAGAGCTGCACCTCTTCCACTACGAATCGGGACCTCTGGATGGAAAAAAAGCCATGGTTTGCCGCCTTAATATGGGGCTTAAGTACATTGTGTGGGCTCTCTGCACTGGGGTGAATTTTGCTGTAAAAGTTTTTGTTCTGCAAAAGTGACTTCAATTTTACTCAGAGTGGATGCTCAGATTTTACTAATGGAAAATGTTTTCCATATGTTTCTGACTCATCGGTGAAGACTTTTCCTTCGGTGTTAAACTGTTATGTTCATACCATGTGCAATGTGTTTCCCCAGCTCATAGTCCAAGGGATTAAATTTTCTAGGTCACAGATTGGGTATTTGAACCATCCTGAGCTAAGCAGAGCAAACCAGTGTTTTCCATTAACAGCTTTGCATAATTCTATCAAAATGATAAACAAATTTCAACATGTTATGCAAGGTTCCAAAGCTGCTGAGGGCTTTACAAAACTGATTAAAGAGTTCACAAAATGCAATACCTATTACTGCATCACTTTCCTATTTATATCTTAAAAGCAATTGCTCTTTAATTCAAACAATGACCTTTGAGGAGATACACGGTATAGCTGACTACTATATTTATACAGCATAATAATAATAATCTAATCTAAGGATACCACTGGGATCGTTTTGAATAGAAGTATATTTATACAAAATGGCATTATTTTGGTGGTTTTGAAGTATCACTTTTTATCACCGTGTCTTTAATTGTGTGGTAATGTCTGTTCAAACTTGTAATGCCTGGCACTTATTTCAAAAGTGAAAGTGACCCATGTTCCTTCTCTTCTAGTCCAGTGATACCCCTTAGGCGAGTGTGTTTACAAAAAGAAGATTTCACCACAAGGCTGAAGTCTTTCAAAGTAATCTCCTCCTGGCTTTCAAATATTGTTGTTGTTTTTTTGTTTGTTTGTTTTTCGGCTGCTGCTATGAATAACTGTAGAGCAGCATCCCTGGTGGTGTTGGGAACACAGGACACGTGGTTTTCTTTATACTGAAGTGGAATTATTAAAAAGCTTTCACATTAGGGTCTGGTTCTGTGAGGGTGCATCTATACAGCACCTTTGCCTCGAAATAAGCTATGCAATTTGCACTACACAATTTGCACTACACAATTGCATAGCTTATTTTGAGGTTATTTCAAAATAGCTTATTTCAAAATTTGGTGCTGTCTACACAGCACCAAATTTCAAAATAAAGCTCTATTTCAACAAATCCCTTAACCCTTGTGGAACGAGGTTTACAGGGATGTGGGAGTAGCGCACCTGTTATTTCAAAATATATTTTGAAATAATGGGCATGTTTAAAGACATGGAATTGCTATTTGGGGATACTTCAGGTATCCCAAAATAGCCCCACTGTCTAGATGTAGCCTCAGGTATACAGGTGTAGATCTGGAGTGACTCAAATTAAATCAGTGGAGTTACATTGGCTTCAAACTACTGTTAAGTGAGGAGAGAAAACTGACCCTATTTAGTATTTTAGAAATGGATGAAATAAGTTGCAAGCAGATTCTCCTAATAAAAAAATTAAGCTTATGCATTCATTTTAAAATATTGTAAGTTAGTTGCACTTAGAATAGTATTTTTAGTGAATAGCTCAAGAAAGAAATTAACATTTGTAAAACGCCTTTTTTTTTCTCTTCTGATAAAAATCCTTTTGCTCGGTAAACACCATACATGTGAATGTTTAGTAAGCCAGTATTAAAACAAATGGTTATGTATGTATAGAACACTTTTTAAGTGGTGTCAGACTATGTGCCAAAAAACCCCCAACTCAATAGTATTTTGGATTTCTGCAGCATCATTCATATAAGAACATGTACATATTTTTTTAAAAAATAACTAAGTATTCTTAGGTACAGGAACCTGTATTTTACAGTCAGGGAAACCAAAGCAAAAAAGGTTGCTTGACATGTCCAGGATCTGCTATCCAGCCTGAGGTAAAAATTGTGGACTGGATCTGTTAGTCTAGGTGTTTCTACTTTTCCTATCATAGTGCTATCCAACTACTTAGTATGCTCAAGTATGACTAAACTTCTGACTCCTATAGGGCTATGTCTACACTGCAGGTTCTTGCACAAGAACTGTTTTGTGCAAGAGTTCTTGCGCAAAAGGTCTTGCGCAGGAGTGCATCCGCACTGCCATGTGCTTTTGCGCAAGAGATGTGCTTTTGCATAAGAGCGTCAATGGCAGTGTGGATGCTCTCTTGCGCAAGAAAGCTCTGATGGCCATTTTACCCATAGAGTTTCTTTCGCAAGAAACCCCTATTGCCCATCCACACTGCCTTCTTGTGCAAGAGGGCTTATACCTCCTGAGGAGAGGAATAACTCTTGTGCAAGAAGCCCTCTGTTCCAACTCTTTTCTGTACATTTTACTTGAGCAAGAACACGCGTGCAGTGTAGACACTCTGCAAGTGTAGACGTAACCCCAGTCTCATGCCATAACCTGATCTACCATACTTCTTCCTTCAGTGCTTCTTGTAGAATAAGCTAAAATATTCATGGTGACTTCATTGTTGACTAAGTTTATCAAAAAGTTATGGTGAGACAGGTATTACAGTATCTAGTTTTCTCAGATCTCCTTGGCCTTTTTCAGCTTGGGCACTGCCCTACTTACAAAACAGAGTCCACCTTATTTGCATTGATAGAAGATCAGCTGTCCATGCTGATAGTAGCTTAGACTTGGTAGCTACCTTCAATAAACTTGATCAGATGCAGAAACAGAGTGAGAAGGACACTTGAGATTTTACCTTGTTTGCTGTTGATGGTTTAATCTTAAAGGTGAATGTTTAAGTTCTATCAAGGATGTATGGATAGAAGGTCTGGTTAGCATTTAAACTAATCTAAATGAATAATAGTTATACCATATAAATTCATTAGTAATAAAGCCGCTGTATGATCAGGATTTCTGCAGAAATTAGTTAGTGGTTTTGAGATGACTTGTTTATTTTTCCTACAAGTGCCTATAGTTAGCAGTATTAGAGTGGCTTTTTACACTGCTGTATAACCAATTTCTTCTAAGCATATAAGCCATTATGGCTCCATACAGTAGCACTAGTCATGAATTCTATGTCCATATTAGGTAGTGACTAGAAACCATATAGAGTGCATTGTCTGTATTTTGAAGCATTTACTTTTCATTTTCAGTATAATGATGGAGAGTGGGTGAATGTGATTATATATCTTCTTTTAGTAGCATTCCTTTAGCAGGTTTTACTCTTGGCACAAAGGTACATCTGAACCAGCACTTACATTGGTGCTTCACTCCAAACAAAACAATTTTACTTTCTTACCATTTATTTTTAGAGCACTGCAAATCCTCGGCTATCTACTTTATATTTGTGGGTGTCCACATCTATGGATGTCAGCACATAAAGCTGCGGCTCATTTTTTGCAGATATGGATGCGGATACAAAATTTTGTATCTGCTCAGGGCTCTCTTTATTTTCATTACATTGAATATGTTCACTGCTTTTTATGAGAACAGGTTATCATGCTCTTTGTAGTGCTAAATAAATACAGCATCAAGTACACATTACCTAGTCTTGCTGAAATAGACATGTAATGTCGTGATTGAGGTACTGATCATAGTGTATGTCTTAAAAGCAATCAGTAAAAATTTGTTTTGCTTTATGCAAATAAAATTGCTGACAATAAAACACATTAACCAGCTGTGACTTGCCTAACCTGGTTTACTGTTATGGAGGCATACTAAAAAGTCCATAGCCAAGGCTGTGCCACAACTTCTCATTAATCAAACAGGACCTTCCTGTCTTTAATAGGTGCCTTTTATAATATAAAGCACTAGAAGATTTACCTAACGTTGCTCGGGTCCTTAACTCAATTAATTTTTGATTTTTGTAAAATAAAATGAAAATGTCCATGCTTTATTTAAACTGTTGCTCTGGGGTGGGGCTGGGGATGAGGGGTTCAGTAGCCAGGCTTCCCCAGGGAGAGAGGACAACCCCAGCCTGCTCTCACTGCAGCAGCTTCGGGCTAAGGGAGAAACACCTCTCCATGGCTTCTGTACTTCCATATCCACCAACTGGAGCAGGTTTATCTGCCCCCTGCACTTCCCAGCCAGAATGAGGAATGCAGCAAACTGTACACTTTCCCTTGCTCCCTGATGAAGAGGAACAGCCCGCAATGTTCCTGTACAACTTGGGGTGCTTCACTCCATCCCGGCACCTGGGGAATGGGTGGTTCAGGGCTGGGATCAGGGGTGAGGGTATCCCCCCAGGCAGCCCCTTTCACCTGCCTGGTAATTCTGTCTCTTTTCTGCATGATTTTATGAGATGCAGTTCCATTCGAGGAACATCCCATTGTCCTAGCATAACCAAACCCTGACCTTGCTTTAAGTTATGATAAGAGGAAGCTGTAGACCAAATTTGGCGGTCCCAGTTCTTACTGTTTAGGTGGAATTCTTCAACAGACAGACAGGCAAGCAGACAGACAAACTCTTTCACATATATAGTAGGTGGACACAGCACCTTTGTGATCTGACTTCCTTTTACTGTGGAAACTAATTTAGGCCCCAATCATATAGTCATTTAGGTAGGCCAACTCCCACTGACTTTCGAGAGAGTTTTCTTCAAAAGGACTTTGGGTCAGGTCCTCAAACACATTTCATTTTGGAACAAGGCACCTATAGTTTAGAGGATCTGAACCTATATGTCTTATATATATTATTTTCTTGTAAGTTGAAACTGAGGTATTCAAAGAAGGGACTGATTAACTACTTGTGGCTGCACCTTTACAAGCTGAGTCCAAAGGAAACCTTGACCTGTGTTTGATTTTAAGCTGCCCAGCCAGATTGACACAGAAATATAGGAGTGACATATCATAGAGTCTTCAGCAAGTGACCATCATAATGCTGCATAAATGCGGCTTCAGGAAATAAAATAAATTTCTTAGACCAAAAAAAAAAAAAAAAAAAAAAACCAACCACCTGTCCTCCAGTCAGAGAAATCCAAAGATGTGCTTGAATGATCTAAAAAAAAAAAAATTTGCAATTTATTTGGGGTGAGAGGGAAATGGGACTGTGTTCAGTATCTCTGGCCAGTGTTATAATGAATGTACAGCAAATTGCTTTGCAAGTGAAGTAAGATGATGGTGATTCAAAGTAGGACTCATATACATTCCTATGCTGTTAGCTGGAGCAGGAAGGAGGGGGGGGCTCACCCTAATACTTCTTATAAAATATGGATCTGTGTAAAACATGTAGTCTTCAGCTTTAAAGCAGGGGTGGGGAACCTCAGGCCTGACCCCTCGCTTGCCTGGAGTCAGCCCCCCAAGGCTCAGCATTTGGGAGCC